ATATCATATTCAGTTGCCCCTTCAGAAGGCAACAGTTGCATAATATTATTTTCTATAGGAACAATATAAAGGTTTTTCACCTGTTTCTGTAGCACAGCTTATTTAGAAGGGGTTATGGGAGGGGAATATACACATGCTTGGGCCCAAGATCCTATCAGGAGGAAACATGCCCCTTAGCGAGAAGTTTGTAGGGGAGTAGAACAGATATAAGGTTCTGTCTGATTTGTAAGGCATACACATTTACTCTGCCCAAAGCAAACTAGTGGTATTCCTAACTCAACTTCTAAACTGGACCTCTGAAATACTCATAGTCTACCACCATTTGACTGGAGGGATAGGTGATGAGGGGAATACATTTGTACAGATTTTTCTATTTCTTTTTTTTTTTTTTTAAAGATTTTATTTATTTATTTGAGAGGTAGAGTTACAAACAGAGAGAGAGACCCACAGAGAAAGGTCTTCCATTGGCTGGTTCACTCCCCCAACAGCTAGAGCTAGGCCGATCTGAAACCAGGAGCCAGGAGCTTCAACCAGTCTCCCACGTGGGCCCAGGGGCCTAAGGACTTGGGCCATTCTCCACTGCTTTCCCAGGCAATAGCAGAGGGCTGGATCAGAAGAGGGGCAGCCGGGATGCAAATTGGCACCCATATGGGATGCTGGCACCACAGGTAGAGGCTTAGCCTGCTATGACACTGTGCCAGCCCAGCAGGGTCATATCTTAACTTGTTGGAGCCATGTTTCCTACTTTTTCAAATTATTGAAAAACGTGATCATGGAAACACTTTTCTAGGACCCCTCCCAGGACCTTGGAAGGAACCTGGGCAAGGGAAGGACCCTGGCTTTGAGTTTCCTCATCTTCCTGTACACCCAAAGCTCCCTGGAAAGGTAGTTGCTATATCCAGTGTGTGAACTGGGCTTCCTGATTCCTGAGTCAGGATCCGTGTTGAGAGTTATTCCTCAAAGCCTGGATGGATTAGCTGTCACATGGACTTTGAGCAGGATCCTGTCTGTTGTCTCAAGGTACAAAAATTGCCTTAGTTTTACAAGTTTATGTCTTTTTTTAACTTTTTTTTAGTAAATATAAATTTCCAAAGTTTATGGATTACAATGGCTTTCCCCCCCATAACTTCCCTCTCACTCGCACCCCTCCCATCTCCCAAGTTTATGTCTTGACCTGCCTCTCCCACTCACCGAGGGACCATTATCACACTTAAACTTCACTCCCTCTGAACTCCCACAGGGACCAAAAGACCTTGAGGGCAGGGTCCATATTTTATTCATTATATTATCCACATCATTTAGCACACAGTCTAGCAAACAGGAGATGCTAAAAAAATCTAATAAATTAATAATAAACAAGCGGGACAGTGGCAGGGAGAGAAGTCATATATTCCAGTGATTTTTCGGGAAGAACTCACTACTGCAGAAAAACACCCAACAAAAAACATCTGCCTAGAATACAGATACTCCTCTATTTCCCCTTCCTTACCTCCTCTTGTAACTATCTCTGACCATGGTTAAAGTATTCCTTTCCAGTTACCAGTACATAAAGCAAGACTCCTAGCTGAAAAGTCTTTTAAATCTACAAAATTTAATGAGGTAACCTCTTCCTGTCTGCCTCTATTGATTTTAGGGAGAAACAAATTCTAGTGTTGGGAATAAAAAGCATGGGTTATATCCTGATTATCTATTTTTTTCCTACTTTGAACCAAAGTATCGCATCTGAATTAAAAGTAATAATGCTAAAAGAGAAAAACAATAAGTGCAGAGATAAAGGTGGCTTGCTGGAGTTTGGATCTGCCAAAGCAGGCACATTGCAAAGCTAATGGCTACACTTCAGGCTATGTGGGTAGAGGTGGAATATAGTGCCTGGGTGTAGACATTTCTGTGGCCAGTGGAGGATGCACCAGGCCAGCACAGACCCTTGGAGGAGACAGTCCTTTGGGAACATTGCCCTAATTTTCTAGAATACTCCATTCGATTTTTTAAAATTATTTTTTAAAAATGTATTTGAGTGGAGAGAATGTTCCCATCCAGGGATCTACTCACTAAATGCTGTAATGGTCAGAGCTGGACCAGGCTGAAGCCAGGAACCAGCAACTCAACACAGTTCATGTGGGAGGCAGGAACCCAACTACTTGAGCTCTCACTTCCTACCTCCTAGGGTCTACATTAGCAGGAAAGTGTAATTGGAAACAAAGCCAGGATTTTTTAATTCATGCACTCCAGTATAGGATACAAACATCTTAACTGGTGTCTTAACCACTAGGCCAAATGCCCTCCCCAATCTTGACTTATTCTATTTGAAAGGCAGAAAGACATACAGAGGGAGGGAGGGACTGAGAGAGAAAGAGAAATAGACCAAAATTGTCCACCCTCTGGTTCACTCCTCCAAAACCTGAAAAATCTGGGACTGGGCTTGTCTGAAGCCAGAAGCCCCAAACTCAGTATGAGTCTTCAGGGTGGTTGGCAGGGACCTAAGTACTTGAGCCATCACCTGCTGCTTCCTGGGGTGTGCATTAGCAGAAAGCTGGATAGCAAGTGGGAGCCAGGACTTGAACCAGGCACTCCAGTATGGGATACATTCATCCTAGAATGGCACTTTAACTCCTGTACATAATACCTGCCTCCCATCCTTTGCTTTTAATGACAAATATTTAAGTTTTGTAAACCATACACAGAAGTGAGAGCTCTTAGGGAAGAGCAAAACTAGTTGGAGTCAGATGATCTTAATCTGGATCTTGGCTGTTTCACCTTAGGCAAGTTTCTGGGTTCTAATTTCCTCTATAAAATTTTGATAATAAATACATCTCATAAGATTGCAAAAAACTGTCAATAATGAAGGTCAAAAGTGATTTGTAAAATGTAACATAAAAAAGTTAAATCTGATTTATGATGGTAATATTTTGTGCTGTATGTTATTTGTCCAGAAAAGCAATGTAATGATTTCTTTTAAGGTTTCTGTTATTTGTAAAATTTAATCATTTTGTGAAATGAAAGAAATCTGATGAATCCCAAACTAATTAATGCCAGGTATACCCTGGGAGGGTGTCTGCAATTAACTAACAGAAAGAAGGCTTTTAAAAGATGTTAAAATGAAAAAAAAAATCACCAAATGCTCTTAAAGTATAGAGCATACAGGTTCAGAATTCTATAAGAAATAAGTATTGGAGATAAAGGAGCTCATTTAACTTTATCAGAAATCTATGCAAAGTGGATAGATTTTAAGAGTTAACACGTTTCTCGTTGACAGCAGCATGGTATTTGTTGCTGTTACAATAATGGAGTAAATTTAATGAGGTTTATTTGTCTACGAAGGAACAGCTTATCTTTTGTTTGGAGCAGAGAAGCAAGCCGAGTCCTGATCTGTGTTATTTCAGTGTCTGGTTGATTTGTACTTGAGGTTGCTGGAACAAATGCTTTGTTACTAAATATCTAGCAGAATCCCATTATAGTAGCCAGTGATCAAAAGGTGGAGTAAGATCTGTTTCTTACCAAGGGGGTTGATGCAGAATTGATCATCCTTACTCTCAAGAAATGTAATTTAGTTCAAGAAATATTAGTTAAGATTTACTACTCATGTCAGGCACTGTTCTAGGTTCTGAGAGTCTAATGATGACTGAAGAGTATGCTCCTAAGTTTACTATGAATTTTGTTCTTCTAATTTTATTCTTCTCCTCTGGATTTCCCATCCTATATTCAATTTCTGAGTCTGCCTTCATTACTCATGGAAGGAATGCCACAGCTGAAAAATAGACAGGAAACAGCCTTTGAATTTTAGAAAATGAGGCCTCGGGGAAATGGGAGAACTTGGGATAAATAACAGATCAGCATTGACTGGTGAGAGCTTCATCCATCCTTCTTCACCTGCCTAATTGGCTGTTCTTCCAATAATGTCTTATGACGATTACAGTAATATCCAGCGCCTTGCTGTCTGACTGACTGATACCACCTGCGTTCCAAGGCTCTACTCTTATTGACTTTCGCATCTGACTACTTTTTTCCACATCCGAGGATACAGATAAATTACTGACTTGGAAGCTGGGACTCTTGATATTTAGAAGAATGGTGGTGATACAGAAACCATGGTGATGCTTGTTTCTCCCAAGTACTTATTTTCTTTTTTTTTTTTTTTTAGGGAGAGACACCCATACCCACACACAAAACACACATTTCTGCCCTCAGTGTAAGCTGCCCACATGATAGCCTAGCCAGAGAGCTAGAGATTGCATTGCGTAGATTCCCTTACAGCCAGGTAAATCCACATGTTTAGAATGTGGGCAGAAATTGTACCATTCAGGGGCTTTGATAGGGATTTGTACCATTGGGCATGGGGCCTTCATCATCATTTCTGTTTCACACAGGCTGTAATGCCAGCTCTTTGAAGAGAACAGCGCCTTCTGTTTCCTAGCAGAGCAACAAGATGAAGGAACCTAGGTCTTTGGAGTAGAGCATCTCCTATACCACTCCCTCCTGGATGGCTATTTTCTCTTTATTTAAGCGGTTGTAATCTTTGACCCTATTTTGTATAGAAAATCTAGTTTCTACTCTAAAACAGAAACAAGAGCCCACTTCACCTGTACTTGGGTGAGAATGAAAGGAAGCAGCTTGAGGTCTGTCCTGGAGGTACTGATAGTTTATTAGGAGAGAGAGACATGGGGACAGAAGAGGGAGCCATCTGTTACAGCTGAAAAAACAAGACAAGTAATAGATTACAGATCCAAAGGCACAGGATTGAGGTAGGGTTGGGTCCCACAAGACCCAGTGTCTCTATCTCTTGCAAAATTCTGGGAAAACATTGGCCAATTTGTGCTGCTTGGACTTTTTTTTATTTGAGCCTTTCATTAGCACTCTTTCTTCAGGCAAAAGACAGTATAATTGATTAGATACGATTGCACTCCAGGCATGCCTCATTACCATACAAGATTAGATGATTACACATGGATGTTCTCATCATTTTAGCCACGGAGTTGAGCTTGTTCTTGTTTCCTTCTCTGAAGGTAATGAAATTTCCATGTTCTTGTGAAGGAAAAAGAAGCTTTGTAAAATGCCGACGGTTTTAACATCCCGAAGTGAATCTCAGAACTGCGTATTGCTGTTGGCAAAGCAGAAGGATGTGCTCAGTCACAAGAAAATGGAGCATTTTTTGCATGAAAAATTGATCACCTGCTCAGTCCCCCTTTTCACTCTCCCCTTCACCCCAGCGTTGGACAGTCACGATGTTGCATGGGTGAGTGGTTATGGGTGGGTGGTTCCATCCTTGTGCATGATGATGTCCTCAGATTTAACCCAGCTGAATCTGCAGGCACCCGCTGACTTCTGAAAGTTTTATTTTTTAGTATAAGCGGCCTCAAATGCTCAGCAGTGAAGGCATTCTCCTTTCTCAATTCAAGTTCTTAAAAACAAACAAATTAAGTCTAGGGGGAATAAAAAGTGTTAAAAGTTTCACTTCCTAGCTCTATGTTTCTTTGAATTTTGAGCCAGGGTACTAAAACAAACCCCCCCTCACCTGCTGCTGTTTTCTGTGCTTACTTTAGAAATAAGCACTTGTCAATTTTGAAATAATTATAGATTCACGATTAGTTGCAAAAATAACTGTAGACTATCCTTCATTCATTCCTTCCCACAACTGGTTACATGTTACTTAATTATATTATGACATCACAGTCAGAAGTTGGCACTGGTACAATATGGTGGTTCTGTGTCATTTAATCACAGGTGTAGGTTCATGAAAACATATCTGAGATGAAGTTATGGATAACACCCCAAAAGCCTCTTGGGACTATCCTTTTATTTTATTTTTATTTTATTTTTGACAGGCAGAGTGGACAGTGAGAGAGGGAGAGACAGAGAGAAAGGTCTTCCTTTTGCCGTTGGTTCATCCTCCAATGGCCGCCATGGCCGGCGCGCTGCGCTGATCCAATGGCAGGAGCCAGGTACTTATCCTGGTCTCCCATGGGGTGCAGGGCCCAAGCACTTGGGCCATCCTCCACTGCACTCCCAGGCCACAGCAGAGAGCTGGCCTGGAAGAGGGGCAACCAGGACAGAATCCGGCGCCCCAACCAGGACTAGAACCTGGTGTGCCGGCACCGCAAGGTGGAGGATTAGCCAGTTGAGCCACGGCGCCGGCCAGGGGCCAGGACTATCCTTTTAAAGTTACATCCCCTAATTTCCTCCAACCTTCCCTAAACTGTGACAACCACTAATCTATTTTCTAGCTCTTTAATATTGTCATCTTAAGAATACTGCATAAGTGGAGTCATGGTCCATTTAAATTTAATGTAATTATTGATATATTAGAGCTTAGAGTCTGCCATTTCATTTTTTGTTTTGTTTGTTCTGTTTTTCATTTCTCTTTTTCCTGACTTCCTATGGTTTATTTGAACAAATTTGAGGATTCTATTTTGATTTATCTTTAGCATTTTGTGATAAATCTCATTGTATAGATTTTAGTGGCTGTTATAAGCATTGTACACATTTAACTTATCAAAGTCTACTTATGTCAACATTATATCAGGTTGAATAAAGTGCAGACATTTTATTTCCCAGTAGGTGTCTTTACCCTCTCCTATTTACAATGTAAATTGTCTTAAATATTTCCTCCACATACAGTGAGAACCACATCAAACAATGTTATAATTTTTGCTTCAATCATCAAACACAGTTTAGAGAACCAAAGAGAAGAAAGGCTGTTGAATTTACTCATATTTTAGATATTTTTTCTTCTTTCTTCCAGATGTTCTAAGATTCTTTTTGAACATTCTCTGTTTCAAGAACTTCCTTGAACCATTCATCAGGGTAGGTCTGTGAGAACAAATTCTCTTTGTTTTCCCTTTCTGATAGAGCTATGTTTCCCCTTTATTGCTGAAGTATATTTTTACCAGATATAAATATTGGGGCTGATAATTCTGTTATCTCAGCATTTGAAATTTATTTTGTGCTAATTCCCTTTATCACCCATGATTTCTTTTTATTTATTTATTTATTTATTTATTTATTTATTTATTTTTTGACAGGCAGAGTTAGACAGTGAGAGAGACAGACAGAAAGGTCATCCTTTTCCGTTGGTTCATCCTCCAATGGCTGCTGCGGCCGGTGCACCACGCTGTTCCAAAGCCAGGAGCCAGGTGCTTCTCCTGGTCTCCCATGCGGGTGCAGGGCCCAAACACTTGAGCCATCTTCCACTGCCTTCCTGGGCCACAGCAGAGAGCTGGGCTGGAAGAGGAGCAAACGGGACAGAATCCGGCGCCCCGACCGGGACTAGAACCCGGTGTGCCAGTGCCTCAGGCAGAGGATTAGCCAAGTGAGCCCCGGATTTCTGATGAGAAATTTATTGTCATTGAAATTGGTTCTCATTTCCTCTGAGTGCTTTTTATACTCATTTCTTGTCTTTAGTTTTCAGATGTTTGAATATAATATGTTTTGATAAGAATTTATTTGAATTTATGCTATTTGGAATTTGCTCAGCTTGTTGAATCTGTAAGTTTTTATCTTTTCCAAAATTTGGAAAATTTCTGGTCATTAATTCTTCAAGTACTTTTTCATCCCTATCTTCTTCTTCCCTTTCTCATGTCAGCAGACACAAATGCCAGATTTTTTTTAGTCCCATAAGTCCCTGTGATCCTGTTCGTTTCCATCCTTTCCCCTTGTTTTCCTTCTGCTCAAATTTTATTTTCCTGAATTCATGTTTTTTGGTTCTGTCCTCTATCTCCTCTATTCTGTTAAAGCCATCCATTCAATTTTTATTTTTGTTATTGTATTTTTCAGGTTCAAAATTTCCACTTCATTCTACTTTTTATCTTTTATTTCTTTGCTGAGAGTTTCTATTTTTTATTTGTTTCAAATATATTTGTAATTGCTCACTTAAGAATTTTTATGATGGCTAATTTAAAATTCCTTTCAGAGAATTCCAACAGCTGTGTCACCTCAGTGATTTTTGTTAGTGATTTTGGGAGGTTTTTTTTTTCATTCAATTTAAGATTTTCCTGGGTTTTGGTATACTATGTGACTTTTCATTGAACCTAGCTTGAGTATTTTGTCATGAAATTCTTTTTCTAAAATCTTTTGCTTTAAACTGTTGAAATCTTTAATATACTAAATTGATCTTCTGTATATAAAGATAATTGAAAATGAATCTTGATGCGAATGGAATGGGAGAGGGAGTGGGAGATGGGAGGGTTGCAGGTGGGAGGGAAGTTATGGGGGGGAAAAGCCATTGTAATCCATAAACTGTACTTTGGAAATTTATATTTATTAAATAAAAGTTAAAAAATATTTTTTCTTTAGCAAAAACACTAACACAGACAGAGCTCCTGGGGACAATGTTGGGAGTACGCCTCATTCATTACTAACCTGTGAGAGTGAAAATCTAAGTTCCTCACTAGGCTTGCTCTTAAACTATCCCAGCAGGGAGAGGTAGTAATGACTTGTGACTGTTGGGTGGTGGGTCCCCTTGTGACCTCCACTAATATAATACTGTAAGTGCAGTGCGTTCATTATTGCTGAATCAGTGTCAGAGTCTGAGCTCCCCACTCTGACTTCTGACACCACACAGTGGAAGGTGTAGTAGGAGGACCTAGTTACAGATAAGCAAGAGTGGAAATCTTGGTCTCCTACTCAGTTTTTGCTGATGACATAAGGCCATGGGTTTTTTCCATGATGTTTGGCTGAGGGCAGATGATTTTTTGTCTAGAAGTTCTCCTATTACTGCCCTTTTCCTGGTCTTTTGGCTGGAGACAACAGAGTTTTCTACTTGCAGTTTTGTTGCTGCCTCCCATTGGTATTTCCATGTTACTGGCCTCTGAGTTTTATGCCAGAGATATATAAAGCAAAAAGAAAATCCAAGAACCCATCATCACATAAAACCAATCCAAAGTCCCTAGCTAGCCATCCCTCTTTGATCCACGTTTGGGTCTTCTTATGTTTGTTTTGTATATGTTTTCCAGAGTTTTAAACTATACTTACTAGGAGGAATAAGGGAAAGTACATATACACACATACATGATTTCACCTTTAGTACTTCCATAGCTAACAATAACAATGTTTTTAGTTCTATCTACATGACAAATGTCATGCTAATTCACTTAATTTTCACAGTAATCTTATAAGGAAGACACAGTAATTGCTGGCTCCATTTTAAGCATGAAGAAATTGAAACTCAGAAGTAATTTATGTAAACACTTAGAGCAGTGTCTAGCACATGATAAAGAATGGGGAATATTGCTATTATGAATTATTTTTGGCATTATTAACATGTCTGAAGGACCCAACTCATAACTGCAGAACTAAATTATAACTCAAGAAAATTGAAACATGCTTGTAAACTCTAGGCTGTATTTCTCTTATTTTTAGTGAAATCATTTGTATTAAGAAATTCTGCATCTTACTCTGTGTCTTTTTCCATCTTCTTTATTTCATTGCTGTTATTTTTTCTCTTCACTTTCCCTGGAAGTAAATTTTCCAAATTTCTTTCCATTCATAACCTTATAATAAAATACCTGGTATATGTAATATGTAGTTGACAAAGTCCTTTTATATTTATCATACTTAATCTTTATTTAAAACCTCATGACATCATAGACAGGTATCATTAATTATCACCCTACTTCAAAACTGAAGTTCAGAGAGATTCAGGGACAGGCCCAAAGTCACATGGTTAGGAAGTGGTCCAGATGGGACCCAAGTCCATTGCTGTTTCTACCACTCTGTGCTGTGTCTGTAGCCCTCAACTGTCTTTCACATCCGACCTAAACTCTCTGTGTTCATAGTTTACCTCCCTTTGGAACTCTTAGTAGAGTGTAAAGGGATTGAGGGAGGAAAAATGGAGGGAGAGGGTTCAGCAGATAGAGTGTAATATGGGTCAGGTATTTGGTGCAGTGGGGAGACACTACTTGCGATATCCACATCCCATTTCAGAGTGTCTGGGGTGGAGTCCTGACTCTGGCCACTGATTCAGTTTCCTACTAATACACACCCCGGGAGCAGCAGGTGATGAACCAAGTATTTGGGTACCTGCCACCCATGTGGGAGACCTGCATTAAGTTCCTGGCTCCTGGATTTGACTGTCCTGATTTGGCTGAGGAGTGAACCAGCAGATGAAATCTCTCTCTCTCTCTCTCTCTCTCTCTCTCTCTCTCTCTCTCCCTCCTCCTCCCGCCCTCTCTCTCTCTCTCTCCCTGCCTTTCAAGTAAATAAAAAATAAAGAAAATTTAAAAGAGCTTCTGTGGTTATGTAGATCTAAATGTTGTTGATCTATTTAAGATTTGTTGGAAATGCTGCTATACAATAATACAACCTTCTCCTATTGCTTGACTCCCACATGGGGTCATGTTTTGAGTTCTAGAGAACAGAATGGTTGGGAGCATGGAGAAAGACAAATTGGACATGTTGATAGCTATTGCATAGATTCCAGTCAACATGAGAAGCACAAAGGCTGAAGCAGTTGAGATCAAGAATAGTGATTTGAAGGATATTTAGTTATTTTTTATAGTATTGGTAGCCAAGAAACTGGTGTGTAGGTATGAGTATTTGAAGGACAAAGACAGAAAAAAGGAGTCATAAAGGACAGTGAAACTGCCTAGGTTCATGATTTGGAAAACTGGATGAGTAGTTTTGTTCACAATTGAGGCCAATGAAAAATAGTTTTAAGGAACATAACAGTGCACAGTAGGATGCTAAATAGTTGGCAAGTTAAATAAAGATATATGGAGGTAATTGCATTTGAAAATTAGGGGCCGGCGCCGTGGCTCAATAGGCTAATCCTCCACCTTGCAGTGCCGGCACACTGGATTCTAGTCCCGGTTGGGGCACCGGATTCTGTCCCAGTTGCCCCTCTTCCAGGCCAGCTCTCTGCTGTGGCCAGGGAGTGCAGTGGAGGATGGCCCAAGTACTTGGGCCCTGCACCCCATGGGAGACCAGGAGAAGCACCTGGCTCCTGCCATTGGATCAGTGCAGTGCGCCTGCCGCAGTGCTCCGGCCTTGGCGGCCATTGGAGGGTGAACCAATGGCAAAAGGAAGACCTTTCTCTCTGTCTCTCTCTCTCACTGTCCACTCTGCCTGTAAAAAAAAAAAAAAAAAAAAAAAAAAAGAAAAGAAAATTAGGAGATAATTAATGCCTTTGAAAAAATACCTGTGATACTCTCATGGGCTTTTCAGCCAGATTCGCATGCCTTAAGGGCTGATTCTGAGGCCAGAGTGCTGTTTAGGACATCCGCCATTCTATGGGTCTGCTGTGTATCTCGCTTCCCATGTTGGATCATTCTCTCCCTTTTTGATTCTATCAGCTAGTATTTGCAGACACTATTCTTGTTTATGTGCTCCCTTTGGCTCTTAGTCCTATCATTATGATCAATTGTGAACAGACATTGATCATTGGGACTAGTGAGATGGCATTGGTACATGCCACCTTGATGGGATTGAATTCGAATCCCCTGGTATGTTTCTAACTCTACCATTTGAGGTAAGTCAGCTTGAGCATGTCCTGAATTGCACATCTCTTCCCTCTCTTACTCCCACTCTTATATTTAACAGGGATCACTTTTCAGTTAAGTTTCAGCACTTAAGAAGAATTGTGTATTGATTACAGTATTCAACCAAAAGTATTAAGTAGAACAAATAAACAAAAAAAAATAATAAGAGGGATAACATGTTAAGTTGTTCATCAATAGTCAGGGCAAGGGCTGATCAAGTCACCATTTCTCATAGTGTTCATTTCATTTTAACAGGTTTCCTTTTTGGTGCTCAGTTAGTTGTCACCGATCAGGGAGAACATATGGTATTTGTCCCTTTGGGACTGGCTTATTTCACTCAGCATAATGTTTTCCAGATTCCTAACAGGGATCACTTTTCAGTTAAAATTTAAACACCTAAGAATAATTGTGTGTTAATTACAGAGTTCAACCAATAGAACTAGGACAAAAAAAATACTATAATGGATAAAGTATTACATTGTACATCAACAGTCAGGACAAGAGCTGATCAGGTCACTGTTTCTCATAGTGTCCATTTCACTTCAACAAGTTTCCCCTTTGGTGCTCAGTTAGTTGTCGCTGATCAGGGAGAACATACGATATTTGTCCCTTTGGGACTTGCTTAATTCACTCAGCATGATGTTTTCCAAATTACTCCATCTTGTTGCAAATGACCGGATTTCGTTGTTTTTGACTGCTGTATAGTATTCTATAGAGTACATGTCCCATAATTTCTTTATCCAGTCTACTGTTGATGGGCATTTGGGTTGGTTCCAGGTCTTAGCCATTGTGAATTGAGCTGCAATAAACATTAAGGTGCAGACAGCTTTTTTGTTTGCCAATTTAATTTCCTTTGGGTAAATTCCAAGGAGTGGAATGGCTGGGTTGAATGGTAGGGTTATATTCAGATTTCTGAGGAATCTCCAGACTGACTTCCATAGTGGCTTCACCAGTTTGCATTCCCACCAACAGTGGGTTAGTGTCCTTTTTTCCCCACATCCTCTCCAGCATCTATTGTTGGTAGATTTCTGAATGTGAGCCATTCTAACTGGGGTGAGGGGAAACCTCATTGTGGTTTTGATTTGCATTTCCTTGATTGCTAGTGATCTTGAACATTTTTTCATGTGTCTGTTGGCTATTTGGATTTCCTCTTTTGAAAAATGTCTATTGAGGTCCTTGGCCCATCTCTTAAGTGGGTTGTTTGTTTTGATGTTGTGGAGTTTCTTGATTTCTTTCTGGTTATCAACCCTTTATCTGTTGCATAGTTTGCAAATATTTTTTCCCATTCTGTCAGTTGCCTCTTCACTTTCCTGACTGTTTCTTTTGCAGTACAGAAACTTCTCAATTTGATGCAATCCCAAATGTTAATTTTGGTTTTGACTGCCTGTGCTTCTGGGGTATTTTCCAAGAAGTCTTTGCCTGTACCTATATCTTGCAGGGTTTTTCCAGTGCTGTCTAGTAATTTGATGGTGTCGGGTCGTAGATTTAAGTCTTTAATCCATGTTGAGTGAATTTTTGTGTAAGGTGAAAGGTAGGGGTCTTGCTTCATGATTCTGCATGTGGAAATCCAGTTTTCCCAGCACCATTTATTGAATAGACTGTCCTTACTCCAGGGATTGGTTTTGGATCCTTGATCAAATATTAGTTGGCTGTAGATGTTTGGATTGATTTCTGGTGTTTCTATTCTGTTCCATTGGTCTATCCATTTGTTTCTGTACCAGTACCATGCTGTTTTGATAACAACTGCCCTGTAGTATGTCCTGAAAACTGGTATTGTGATGCCTCCGGCTTTGTTTTTGTTGTACAAGATTGCTTTAGCTATTCGAGATCTCCTGTGTCTCCATACAAATTTCAGCATCATTTTTTCCAGATCTGAGAAGAAGGTCTTCGGTATCTTGATTGGTATCACATTGAATCTGTAAATTGCTTTTGGGAGAATGGACATTTTGATGATATTGATTCTTCCAATCCATGAGCGTGGAAGATTTTTCCATTTTTTGGTATCCTCTTCTATTTCTTTCTTTAAGGTTTTGTAATTTTCATCGTAGAGATCTTTAACGTCCTTGGTTAAGTTTATTCCAAGGTATTTTATTGTTTTTGATGAGAGTATTACAGGCATGGAAAGCCAAAACACTCTGGGAAAAAAAAAAAAAAACCCTGCATGAAAAATCTCCGCGAGTGAGATCCCAGTGAAAAGAACAGGTCATCAAAGAAGGAGGTACCTTTCTCTGAAGGGAGGAGAGAACCTCCACTTTGAATATGACCTTGTCTAAATATGATCAGAGTTGGTGAACCCAAAAGGCTTCCATAGCCTTGGCGACTCATGACAAGAGCCTAGGGTGATTACTGATGCCATAAATAAGAGTGTCAATGTGTTAAGTCAACAACAGGAGTCACTGTGCACTTACTCCTCATGTAGGATCTCTGTCCTTAATGTGCTGTACATTGTGATTTAATGCTATAACTAGTAGTCAAACAGTATTTTTTAGGAAACCATGGTCAGTAAGTTTAAGAAACTGGGCTTAAGCCAATTCAAATTGTTTTCTATTGTGCAATTCGTAAGCACTTTTAACGTATCACTGATCACTATGTCCTTCTTAGTATAATGTGGGGGCAATTCCACAATGATACATAGCCACAGCACACATTCTGTTTGTTCCAACAGGGTGACTCAAGGAACACACCACCTGAGAAATGACTCTCTATGTGAAAAGGACCCAGAAAGAATGTGTCAGGCAGAGAGAACTGGGATCTATGTCATTTGTGAGATATGCTTCCCAAAAGCATGGACTGTGACCATCAGGGAGTTAAGCTTAGCTGCCTTGCCATGAATTGTCTCATGCTGTTGGCATCCCACTGACTTTCTATCACATTTTCCCTACACCAACCTTCATGTCACTTTCTGTTCTGTAAAAAAATGAAGGGGTTCTATTGGAGGAGCTACATGATGCATTCCAGGTTTAAAAGTCTATGGGTCATCCATACTAACTTAAATCCTTGAAATTTCCTACTTTTTTAAGTACTTCCAAATCACAGGTGAATGGTGCCTGAAGTTGAAAACTAAGCTGAGTCAATATCCATTGTATCACAGCCTTCAGCTATCTGAGGCCCCTAACTACAGGGAAGGAAAGCACACCCTCCAGAGTATATGAAACCTGGGAAAGCACATGGTACCTAACCAAGAAGGGGCGTGAAGAACCCTGAAGAAAAGGCAGTGTCATTGCTTATAAGTAAGTACAATAGACTGCAAGAGCTTTGGATGATGGGAGTTTTTCCCGATGATAACTGCAGGCCTTTGAAGACAGGGAGATGACATAGTCACTGATAAGCCGGGAATAGACCGGCTCACCATGACTGGTAAAAGGTATCTATGTGTAATGGAAAGTAACATGACTAGAATTAGTCAGACCAATGGGGGAGATCATACCAATTATCTGAGTGAGAGATGGTGGCACAAGATTAGACCCACGTTTTTGGCTTGGACAACAAGGTAGATGGTGGTATTCATTTTAGGGAATAGAAGAATTAAAGGATGAGCAGAGAGAAAAGACCCAAATCAATAAAATCAGAGATGAAAAAGGAAATGTAACAACAGACACCACAGAAATAAAAAGAATCATCAGAAATTACTACAAGGACTTGTATGCCAGCAAACAGGGAAACCTATCAGAAATGGATAGATTCCTAGACACATGCAACCTACCTAAATTGAACCAGAAAGACATAGAAAACCTAAACAGACCCATAACGGAGACAGAAATTGAAACAGTAATAAAGGCCCTCCCAACAAAGAAAAGCCCAGGACCAGATGGATTCACTGCTGAATTCTATCAGACATTTAAAGAAGAACTGACTCCAATTCTTCTCAAACTATTCAGAACAATCGAAAAAGAGGGAATCCTCCCAAATTCTTTCTATGAAGCCAGCATTACCTTAATTCCTAAGCGGAAAAAGATGCAGCATTGAAAGAGAAGAGAATTACAGACCAATATCCCTGATGAACATAGATGCAAAAATCCTCAATAAAATTCTCGCCAATAGAATGCAACAACACATCAGAAAGATCATCCACCCAGACCAAGTGGGATTTATCCCTGGTATGCAGGGATGGTTTAATGTGCGCAAGACAATCAATGTGATACACCACATTAACAGACTGCAGAAGAAAAACCATATGATTATCTCAATAGACGCTGAGAAAGCATTTGATAAAATACAATACCCTTTCATGATAAAAACTCTAAGCAAACTGGGTTTGGAAGGAACATTCCTCAATACAATCAAAGCAATCTATGAAAAACCCACAGCCAACATCCTATTGAATGGGGAAAAGTTGGAAGTATTTCCACTGAGATCTGGTACCAGACAGGGATGCCCACTCTCACCACTGCTATTCAATATAGTTCTGGAAGTTCTAGCCAGAGCTATTAGGCAAGAAAAAGAAATTAAAGGGATACAAATTGGGAAGGAAGAACTCAAACTATCCCTCTTTGCAGATGATATGATTCTTTATTTAGGGGACCCAAAGAACTCTACTAAGAGATTATTGGAACTCATAGAAGATTTTGGCAAAGTAGCAGGGTATAAAATGAATGCACAAAAATCAACAGCCTTTGTATACACTTGGTGTTTCTATGTGGGTGCAAACTGTTGAAATCTTTCCTTAATATATTCTAAACTGATCATCTGTGTATAAAGAGAATTGAAAATGAATCTTTATGTGAATGGAATGGGGGAGGGAGAGGGAAACGGGAGGGTTGCGGGTGGGAGGGAAAAAGTTATGGGGGGGGGAAAGCCATTGTAATCCATAAGCTGTACTTTGGAAATTTATATTCATTAAATAAAAGTTAAAAAATAAAAGAAAAAATACCATTGATAGAGATAGAAGTGAGCAGAACAGTGGGATGAGATGGGCAATGGAGAAACTATTTGGAAGTGAGGAAAGAGACCATTCATGAAATGATACTGGAAAATTCATGGAATTTGACATTTGAAGAACCAGTTTCAAAACCTGGTACTGCTGACTTGCTACGAGCCTTTGTCAATGACTTTCCCCATCTGAGTCTGTTTCTGAGAAGCGGGGCAACAGTAAGTTCTGCTCATTTTCCTGGGATATAGTTCTCATTGTGTGCCACAGGAGGAACAATGTCATGGAATTGAGATGTTTTAATTCTTTTGCTTGCGTTTCCAGAAATGACTAATGTGGTTATGTTTAACCTTTGATTGAATCATGGATAAATGTTGCAATGCTATGTGGAGAGTATCTAGAGAATAGAAGAATATATAGAGTTTTTTTTTTTAACTCTATCATGATTATCCATGGAGAGCTCACAGACATAAACATTACCTTGTTTTCAACTGGCCCCTGACTGACAGTTAAACTTAAGTAAGTTAATGCACATAATTAATAGATGCACATGAAAAATACCATATATTTATTCTTAAATAGATCCAAAAAGCATTTGTGTTTCCTTTAAAAATTAAATGAATATAACATTTTTTTCTCTTTCACTTTCTTACACATTAAATATCTATGTGAATGTTATTGAATTATTTGTTTTATATAAATAAAATGTACAGAAATATAGGATTACCTCGCATTTAATTTCAGGTTAAGGTGCTAAGAAAAGACTGTATTTTTCATTTCTTCTATACCCCGTTTCAATATAATTTGAAATAATAAAAATTACAATATTTACTTTCAAATTTTCACCAGAACCAGAGGGTAGATTTAATGGTCTCGACTTTTCCAGATGAGCAAATGAGCTTGAAAAATGGCAAAACAAAGGACTGACAATGTGGCGTAGCAGGTAATGCCACTGCCTATCTATGGGTGCTGGTTCATGTCCCAGATGCTTCATTTCTGATCCAACTCACTGCTAATGTCCCAGAAAAAGCAGCGAATATGGCCCAAGTGTTTGGGCCCCTGTCACCCACGTGGGAGACCTGGAAGAAACTCCTGGCTCCTAGTTTTTCAGCCATCTGGGGAGTGAACCAGCAGATGGAAGGTATCTCTCTCTGTGTGTCTCTCTCTGTCTCTCTGTCTCTCTCTCTCTCTTTCTCTCTAATTTTGACTTTCAAATAAACAAACAAAATCTTTGAAAAAAATGGCAAAACAAATTCAAATGTCCACTATAGAGCTAAGTATGGTAGATACTGAATAAATGTGATAATTGCTATCCTGTAATAGCTTCTTCACTATTTTAAGATCAGTAAATACAGAGTGTGATCTCATTGCAGGCATGCACACTAGTATAGAGCAATAGTCATGCTGTGGGAGTTTTCTGGAATGCTCTTCATCTCTGTCCTATTCCATTTATCCCCGTTCATCCATTTATTTATTCAGCAATAAGAAGTAACTAGTCACTGAATTGGTCCATACTTCTGTTTGTCCACCTGTTCTATGACTACATATTTCTGTTCTGACTGGCTGCTGACACACAATTGCAGACAACAATAGGAGCACCTAACAGTTGGGGTGAGTCCTGGGCATGACATATCCTAGAATATTTCCAATTACTTGGACAACAGAACAATATTCTTGTTATTAATGAAGACTTAGTCCATCAGGTCTCTAGAAATCTAGGATTATTGTTTTTAAATAGTCTTTTATTTGAAAGGGAAAGAGAGAGAGAGAGGTAGTTCCCATTCACTGGTTTACTCCCCAGATGCCCACAATGGACTGGGTCAACCAAATCTAGAGTGAAGAACTCCATCCACATCTCTCACAGGAGTGACAGAGACTCAACTACTTGAGCTAGCACCTGCTGCCTTCCACTGTATGCAAGAGCAGAAATCTTGAATCAGGAGCAGAGCCAGTAGTTAAATGCAGGCATTCCAATATGGGATGCAGGCATGCCAAGCAGTGGCTAAATTGCTTAGCCAAAGACCCACCCTGAAAACTAGGCTCTATGTTGGGATCTGAACCACTGTTGAGGCCTCTGCTTCCTCTCTTCATTAGCTGTACATCAGGCACCTTCTCTGCTTCACATCTCTGCAGTGCCCTGCCAAGCTGTATTGGACCTGAGCCAAAAAGAAACATCTCTATTATTGATCCTGTATTTATTTCTTTGGATCAGGAATTTCTGGGGATAATTCATCTAGATTTGAATTTAAGTTGTTCCCTTATACTTCGTGCCCAAAGCTGGGTCATTTGCCTCACTCTAGTACCTACCCTGCACATCTGCAAAGGAATTTTAAAATGACTTGGTTTACATTAGCACAGAAAATGGCAAGATTCCAAATGTATGTTCTTGAACTGGCCCTTGCCACAGAGTTTGCGTAGGAATCAAAGGCCATCTGTGTTTAACTCTCAGAGAGCTATATTTCTCTCCTATTGAATTCCAGAACATTCTTTCATCCCTAAAAATGGAGCCAAGTACTGACTACAGAAGATAATGTTAAAAATCTTCACTGGTTTAGATTTTCAGGAAATAAGTTCAGGTAACTAAATGGACATTGTTGGCTTCTAGAGACCAGTTACAGGCAGATCTATCCTATGATGCCATCCTAGAAAAGAAGATGCCACCTACATCTTCTCCTTTCTGTAGTGTTCCTCTAGAGCACCATTCAGACATATTGGAATGTTTACTCAAAACCTCCAAATCCCAGCTCAACCCCATTAAGTTCTTCCAACCTTTCCTGGTCTTCACAGCTGAATGTTCATCTGAGCATGGACACCTCTGCGCTCAATTTTTCTTTGAAGCCAAAATATGGACAGAATTTTGAAGGGAGGTTCTTCTTGCAAGATTCCATCCATCCCAGAAACAAAGCTGGGGCTGGCTCTGAGGCCTTTCACAAGACTTAGCTAATTTGAGGAAGAGATCCGGATTTTATAGCCAGTTCTCGCTCTTCCACACCAACAGGAGGGTATTGGGCTGGAGAATACATTAACAAATTCCACAGATACTCCAAAATTTCCGATTGTGTCAATAAATTTTCTTTCCTTTTATTAAAATTATCTCCTTTGTGTTCAGTTTGTGTGGGTGTGTGTTTTGTTTTTTGTGGGCTAGATGATAGGTAGCACATTAGTTGGTTTTTAACACCCCCCCACACACACACCACCACCCAGTGAGAAGCCAGTCCAACCTCAGCCTCTTGCTCTCAAATCTCAACTCAAAAGTTGTATCCTTTATGAAGGCTGCCCTCAACAAACCAGTCTGAATGACTTCCACCTTGGTGCTCACAAAATGCTTCTCAGACATGCTAAAACATTTATTTCCTTCCGCTTAGGATGACAGTTACACTCGACTACTTTTTAAAGGCTGAACTTGGACAACTTGCTTAATCTCTATACTTCAGCTTTCTTATTTATAAATGGAGGCAACAATTACTTTGCCAGGTTATTGTGAAAGGCCTGTAGTCAGACTGAATCAACCAGTTTCCAGTTCTTCATAGGAGATGTTATTTAACGTCCTAAACCATTTTATTTGTGAAATGACAAAAAAATATTGTGTCTACCTCAGAAGTTCAGAATAATGCAGGCAAAGTAAACAATAGAAGGATTAGCAATCATCCTGTTATTATTGTTACTGCTTTCTTGACTAGACTGTGAATTTCTAGAAGAAACCTTGTTCATCTCATTATCACCCACAGATAATAGTAAATGAAGGCCAGTATATGTTTGTAGTATGTTGAAGATAAGGGTAATTCAGAGAGTTCATGGAAATGTATATGATGAAAAATCTATGCTTGAGTTTCCAATGTTCTACACCAAAATAAATTTACCTTTAATTCCACTTTCCATGAATTCTTCAAGTACTCTCCTATTTCTTTTTCTTCTATACCATTTAGTTTTCAAAATACATAAATAATATACAATTTCATCTTTGTGTTGGAATTAATTTATGTATCTTAATTTCTTTTCTGAAATGTGCTTTAGGCAAAAAGGTCACTCAGAAAATACCACATAAAGAAGTGGACTAATACTAACATATTTAAAGGTTCATCATAGCACATCTCTTTTGATAATTGACCAAAATGCTGCACAACTACCAGTAAAACTTCTCCCCTTGGTAAGTAATTCATTTTTTTTTTTTTGACAGGCAGAGTGGACAGTGAGAGAGAGAGACAGAGAGAAAGGTCTTCCTTTGCCGTTGGTTCACCCTCCAATGGCCGCCGCGGCCAGCGCGCTGCGGCCGGCGCACTGCGCTGATCCGATGGCAGGAGCCAGGAGCCAGGTGCTTATCCTGGTCTCCCATGGGGTGCAGGGCCCAAGCACCTGGGCCATCCTCCACTGCACTCCCTGGCCACAGCAGAGGGCTGGCCTGGAAGAGGGCCAACCGGGACAGAATCCGGCGCCCCGACCGGGACTAGAACCGGGTGTGCCAGCGCCGCTAGGCGGAGGATTAGCCTAGTGAGCCGCGGCGCCGGCCAAGTAATTCATTTTTAATTGTTTCAAATTTTTATTTATATAAGGTGAACATATTTCATGTATTTCATATATACAGATTTAGGAGCATAGCAATATTCCCACCTTACCCTCCCTCCTCCTTCCTTTCTTATTCTTTCTTTTAATTTTTACCATGACATACTTTTAGTTTATTTTATAATCATAAGCTTAATTCTCCATTAAGTAGAGAATTTAACAAATAGTAAGAAGAAAAAAAAAAAAACACTGTTCCTCAACAGAACAGATAGGGGCTCTAAACAATAATCAAATCTCAAAATGTCAATTTGGCTTACATACATTGTATTTTTATACTCTATTAGTTACCACAGATCTGGTAAAACATAGAATATTTGTCTTTTGGAACTGCCTTATTTCGCTAACTACGGTAGTTTCCAGTTGCATCCATTTTGTTGCAAAAGACAAGAGTAAATATTTTAAAACACTTGAAATCACCAAATGAACAAATAATGAGCTAAAGCCCTTTTCTTACGTAACACAGACATATGTCCATGTGTTGCATCTTGTGAGTGCTGTAGTGCATGCCCCTGTCACCTACAGAGATAGAGCAGGCAGTGAGAAACAGGTTGCTTTTTGTTTCCAATGATGTCACTCAGGTCCAGCATGAGGGATCTGCTGTCTACTCCTATTTTTTTTTTTTCTGCACGGAGAAGCTCTCTTGGCTCTTTGTTGACACCAGCACAACAGAGACAGGGGACAAGGAGGGAGATGGAAAGGACTGATACACCAACCGCTCTGAAAGCACATGACAGCAGACAGCCAGGCTATTACTGATGCTGATCAGCTTAGAGGCAATGCAATCAAAACCTTCAATTACACCTGGGTGATTTAATCAACTCCCTGTCAAACTCAGGCTGGAACTCCTCTGGTACTGTACAAATACAGTAATTACCATGCCAGCTTGCAATAAGATATCATTTCAGTGGATTAGAAAACACATTCTGTTGTCAATTACCAACAGCCAATTTATAGACCCTGAAACAAGCAATATTTTTTAATTGCTGCCTTTGTGTCATTATCACAAAATTACTTCTCTTATGAGGCATTAAATCATCTCAGCCATGTTGAGAGTGGGGCAGGGGGGAGATTAAAAAGTTTTCACTCTGTTCTTTCCTGATAAAATGGGAATAGAGGCATAAAACTTGCATCCTGCTGGGTTGGACTTTGAAATACAAAACAATCGAAAAGCCCCAGAGATTCTCAACTACACAAACAATCACAAACAAATCCTGAAGCTACATGAATAGATCAGAGAGCAGGGAGCCAGGAATCAGATTTATTTTGACCTCTGCTTTTTCTGTATCCCTGGGCTCATTTTTCTCCCATTTGCCTATCTTCCATGCTTTGTTTTGTAGAGGTATTTATTCCTTATGAGGGCATGTTTCAGTTGATACCAGATGTGGCAACTGTCTCCAGAGATCAGGAGATTTAAAATCTTTCTCCTCTATCCACCCTTCCCAAGTGCACGTACCCAGGCCGAAGAATAATTAGTAATTTCGCCTTGCCAGTTTTACTCAGCTGGTACACAAAGTTCCTAGGATTCTTCTTCCTCCTATTGCAAAGGGAATGCTTGACACACCCTTAAAACCTACCTCCATTCCAGCTGGTTGATTCTAAAAGGAGACATTTTTATTCTACCAAGTAGCAGATTACAGGCAAAATTTTGTGATTGCTATTATCATTATTCATTATTCTATTGCTAATAACAAGCATTCTGTAGCACTTGTAGTATCTCAGGCACTTTTCTAAATGTTCTATAAATAGTATAAAAACCTTAAACAGTGTATATTATTGTTATTCTCATTTCACATGAGATCGGTATGTTCCGGATGGTATCACCGTGGACTGTTCTCATTTCACAAATAAGGGTTTGATGCATTGAGTGGTTAAAGTTTTCAGCTGCAGTGAAAAATGGGAAGGATATTGGAAGAATTAGGTTTAAGTCTTGACACTGCCACTTTGGATTCCAGCAGTTATACATTGATCATTCATTTTAGTTTTCTCACCTTGTAAAGGAGAAAATAGTCACATCAATATTGCTAATTTGTGGTAACCAATGTATAGAGTACAAAATGTAATGTAAATTGAGCAAAATTGACATTTGGAGATTTTTTAGATATTATTATTATTGTTTATTTATAGCCTTTGTACACTTGAGGAACAGTGGTTTTTCTACTTACTACTTGTTGAATTCTTTATTTAGTGGAGGATTAAGCTTATGATTATAAAGTAAACTGAAAGTGTGCCATTATAAGAATTAAAATAAAAGAGTAAGAAGGAGAGAAGAGGAAGGATGGGAGTGAGAGAGGGGAAGAAGTCAAGGTGGTAAGTATCATTATGGTCTTAAATCTGTATCTATGAAATTTGTTCCCCTTATATAAATTTTATAAATTTTTTAAAAAGAATTCCACATATTCTTTTATCTATATGTTTTTATATATTATCTTATTTAATCCTCATGGTGACTCTATTGGTAAAATCTAGTTCCCCCCATTTTGCTAGTGATGAAGCTGAGATGTGGACAAGTAAAGTAGTTTGCTGAAAGTTACACCACAAGGAAGTTGTGGAGCTCCAGATCCCTCTCTCAGCTGTCACCACATACGGCCTCTTATTTTAGCCATTCCTCCTTTACTACTGACAATCTCTAGTCATGTTCTTCTGGTTGAGATCCAGGTCTGTATTTCTAATCTCCTACTACACATCACCTCTCAGACATTGTCACAACTATCTCACAGTTCATGTGTCCCAACTGAAAGGCATCGTTATTATCTTGGCCCTAAACCTGGTCATCCTTTAATTCTTCTATTCCCTAAAATGAATACCACCATCTACCTTGTTGTCCAAGCCAAAAACGTGGGTCTAGTCTTGGGCCACCATCTCTCACTCAGATAATTGGTATGATCTCCCCCATTGGTCTGACTAATTCTAGTCATGTTACTTTCCATTACACATAGATACCTTTTACCAGTCATGGTGAGCCGGTCTATTCCCGGCTTATCAGTGACTATGTCATCTCCCTGTCTTCAGAGGCCTGCAGTTATCATCAGGAAAAACTCCCATCATCCAAAGCTCTTGCAGTCCATTGTACTTACTTATAAGCAATGACACTGCCTTTTCTTCAGGCTTCTTTACGCCCCTTCTTGGTTAGGTACCATGTGCATTCCCCAGTTTCATATATTCTGGAGGGTGTGCTTTCCTTCCTTGTAGTTAGGGGCCTCAGGGAGCTGAAGGCTGTGATACAATGGATATTGACTCAGCTTAGTTTTCAACTTCAGGCGCCATTCACCTGTGATTTGGAAGTACTTAAAAAAGTAGGAAATTTCAAGGATTTAAGTTAGTATGGATGACCCATAGACTTTTAAACCTGGAATGCATCATGTAGCTCCTCCAATAGAACCCCTTCTTTTTTTTTTGGACAGGCAGAGTGGACAATGAGAGAGAGAAACAGAGAGAGAAAGGTCTTCCTTTGCCATTGGTTCACCCTCCAATGGCCGCCGCAGTCGGCGTGCTGTGGCCAGCGCACCACACTGATCCGATGGCAGGAGCCAGGTACTTATCCTGGTCTCCCATGGGGTGCAGGGCCCAAGCATTTGGGCCATCCTCCACTGCACTCCCTGGCCACAGCAGAGAGCTGGCCTGGAAGAGGGGCAACCGGGACAGAATCCTGCGCCCCGACCGGGACTAGAACCCGGTGTGCTGTCACTGCAAGGTGGAGGATTAGCCTAGTGAGCCGCGGCGCCGGCCAGGACCCCTTCATTTTTTTACAGAACAGAAAGTGACATGAAGGTTGGTGTAGGGAAAATGTGATAGAAAGTCAGAGGGATGCCAACAGCATGAGACAATTCATGGCAAGGCAGCTAAGCTTAACTCCCTGATGGTCACAGTCCATGCTTTTGGGAAGCATATCTCACAAATGACATAGATCCCAGTTCTCTCTGCCTGACACATTCTTTCTGGGTCCTTTTCACATAGAGAGTCATTTCTCAGGTGGTGTGTTCCTTGAGTCACCCTGTTGGAACAAACAGAATGTGTGCTGTGGCTATGTATCATTGTGGAATTGCCCCCACATTATACTAAGAAGGATATAGTGATCAGTGATACGTTAAAAGTGCTTACGAATTGCACAATAGAAAACAATATGAATTGGCTTAAGCCCATTTCTTAAACTTACTGACCATGGTTTCCTTAATTTTTTTGAGGGGGAGTGACTTAATACCAACCAGAATTTCATAGGATTGAAATTAAGTGTGCTGTGGTGATTTGTAGTCACGAGTCACAGTTTAATTTGGCCACGTGTGACTGGTGGCTATTGTACTGGATAGCTGGATTTAGAAACTGAAGTCAATTAAATGAATTACTAAAATGATCTCTGTAGCACTATTTTGCTACCACTTCCATGGACAGTGCAATGTCCCAAAGCAGAAGTTCTCATGGAGGATAATTCAGGCACGGTGCCGTACTGCAGTCATGTTGGGCAGAGCCTGTGGATGCATCTTAAACTGTAACAGGTAGGTCCCCAGCAAACGTGGATCTGGGACATCCCTTAGGGGTTACTTAGATTCAAAAATAGCATGTTGCCTACTCACCTCCAGTTCCTGGAATCTGCTCTGGTTTCTAGTTGTGCAAATAGCTGCTTCTATCAGTCATGTAATGCCATACCAGGGAGTTGGCAAGAGCAACGCATGCTACTCCTTGCCCCAGGATGATGGAGTTAGATTTGCCACTGTGGCTCCTGTCCAATTCTGTGAAGGATGCCCTTGAAAGTGCTCCTCCCTGCAGAGAAGGAATGAAAGAGAACAAAAATAAATAGCACTAGGTAGACTCATAAAACTTGTCAAAATCTTTCAAGTATGGCATACGTGATGATTCATGGGGTTTGCAAAACATTACCAGATTAAAACAAGAAACCTCTTGCAGGGTGGTCATTCTAGAGCTTTGGATCCCTGCGTGGCAGCATAATCCTAATGGGTAGGGGAACTCTGTGCCCCCTTCCTCCACCCACACTATCCAGACGCAGGAGGATGCTCAACAACAGAGCAGTGAAAATCCCTGCTTCAACTTTACCCTTCATCCCATGAAAAAAGACCTTATAAGCCATCTCTGGAAATTTGTTGAGAAATAATTTGCTCAAATTTCTCTCTCTACAGATCAAGCCCATTTCCTCTCATGTAATCAGCAAGAAGAGAGAAGCACAGATTCATCAGCGCACTTATTCTAACCATTCAGAATTTCAGAGTTGATAAATGCAATTTTCCTGGGGCTGTCGATTTTCTGTAATTTAAATGTTAAGCCCTTTCTTCACACACAGCTAAAATTCACTGCATTCCCACTCGGCACATTCTCACTCATTTTGATACTGTCATCTTTCTGATCTGTGACTAGCCATTGCACTTAATTAACCAATGGAAAACAAGAGGACCTTTTCACACCCAGAAGCTAGAGTGTGATGACTCCTGGAGAGAGGAATTAATCAGCACCTGAGTTCAGCCTAATCAGCTGTTAGAGGAAGACCCATCACTCTGATGACCCCAATGCTGCCACAAGGAGAGATTAGAGATTATTACTAATTTACAACTAAATGGCTAACTGTGAAGTCACCAGGTTGTGCCTTCAGCCACAACCATCCCTGACAATGTTACAGGAAAAAAAAAAAAAAAAGACATTCAATTTCTCTTTACTTTTGGTAAATACTGATTGCATGACTACAATGTGCCAGGTGCTGCACCAAGCACCAGACAGAAAATGATGAATAAAACAGAACCCCTGCGCTGGATGATAGGCTGTGAGGGAGACAGGGAGGAAGCAAGGGTCACAGATATGCATGTGCGTGTACCAGAGGGTTAGCTCAAAGCAAGTTAGATGGGGAGGGAAGGTCAGAAAGTAATGACTCAGTCAAGGTCTGAAGGAGGAGGAGTTCGTTAAGCAAAACAGGAAGGGTTTTCCTAGAAGGTGAAACCACCTGTACAAAGGCCCTGTGGTGGTGTGATAATAAGAGACCAGTAAGGTCCACAGGCAGCAGGGAAAAGGAGAGTAGTTTAGAATAAGGCTGAAAATCTACGTAGGAACCAGACCTTGGTCATGAGTAACAAGGAGCCGTTTAAATGCTTCAGGAGATAGGAAGCTATCGGAAAACTGTAAGCTAAAATATAACTTAATCATGACCTTTTAAAACTCCAGAGTCCTAACGATTTATGAGTCTCCAGAATACAACTTCCACCTCTTAGTGTGGCATTAACATCCTCTGTGCTCCCGCTACCGTCTCCTCTCCTGTGCTCTCCGTCTTGCCTCAGTATAAAGTGGGCCCTGGATCTTACCGTTGAGCTTGCCATGTACCTTCTGGGGCTCTGTGCCTTGCTTACGTCTGCATGCTCTTTGAAGGCAGGAATGATCCCTATCCCTGTGTGTTTTGGCTGCCTAGAACAGAGCCAGACACATAAAGATATCTGTGAGTGGAAGGGGGAATGAATGAACACCTTTACTATTTTATCTGTTAAAAGTCTGCCCATTCTTAAAAGACCTGAATTGATATATTGACGGCTTCCATGAAATCTTCTCTGGTTCTCCAAGCTGGGATGATTTGCTCCTGCTTTGCTGCTACCCCTGGCCTTTGTTTATACTGGTGATGTCACTATATTGTGTTATAACGTCCTGTATGAAAGAACAGATGCAGGCAAACACAATCTGCATACCCACCTTAGGAACTTTTCAAAAACAAGACAGACACGGAATGAGGGTCCTGAGGACCCTCGAGAGAAAGCATGGTGTGAGCCTTTGGAACTGACAGACAAACCCTTTGATATTAGTTAGGTTGTATCTAACTTAACTCATCTCCTTAATCTTGACCTAATTATGTCTGATGAGATTAAGGCATGTCAAAATATATTTGGCAGGTTAGAAGGATGGCACTGCCAACAATATTTCCATTAGAAACTTGGAGAGAATTTAGCCCAAGGGAAAAGGCAAGTTGACAAACTGACTCTGAAGCCCTAGGGGTGAGAAGAGGGATAATTCTAAGAACAAGGCAGTATTTTCTCCTAAGTATTTGTCTCCTGGCCCAGCCCCTATGGCTCCTTTCTGAGATCAATGGGGTGGGGACCAAGGGGGATGTCAGATGTTAGTATAATTGGGAAGAGCTGTTTCACAAACACGTCACAAGGCGTGGAGGATGGGAGTTTTCCATGTGGCAGCACCAGGAGACACTGAGCCCTGTGGGTCTAGGGTCACTCCTCTCTCCTAATCGCCCTTATCATCAAGAAAAAAACTAACACCAGACACACTGAGGTTAAGAGAGTTTTGCAATTGAAGTAACAAAACCCTTGGGATTGGAGCTAAACCTGTAATAATTACTGTGGGCCCAGTAGGAACCTGTTTTTCCATGACCATTATGACCTAGGGAAAATCAGTTATACCCTGCAGTTGGACTGCTGGTGGATATATCTTCCCCTGGAGGAACCACCTTACCTTGCCATGGTAAGGAAGCCTGCACAGCCCAAATTTCTGCAAGCCTAAGAGCTCTTGTCTGAGCTTCAGCAGAATCCCAGCCAACCTGTACAGAGTTCTTTCCCTAGCCCCGAGAAATGTCTGAGAGTCCCTGGAGGAGCTTTTGCCACGTCCTTCAAGGCGTCTGTCATTGCCACTTGTCAACTCAACCCTCCCTCTCCAGCTCCGGTGTTCTCTGTTCCCCGTAGATTGCTTCAAAAGCAGCAGGAAAAGTTTCCTACATCCCAGGCTCACCTCGAGAATGTCATTGCTCAAGGCTCCCAGTCCTCAGAGGGTCGGAGTGTTTTTGTAGTTGACTGTACCTGGGGACCAGTGTAGTGATGGGCTGAGATGAAAAAATGTACTTCCAAATTCTGTGTCAGTTTTGTCACTCAGAGCCTGACACCTCTGTGTGTGAGTTCAGCTGCATGAAGAAATTCCTCTTGAACAGTTAAGTCCAGTTTTTTCTTCTGACTCTTCTCCATGGGAGGCCCCAAACTATCCTCAGTGAACCCAAGAAAGCTGCCTTTGGAGTGGGGCCGCTTATATTGAATCAGTTGGCAAACTGAATAACGACTCCTTGGTTTAGTTTTTGTACACTGTTTTAATAATGTTCTTCATACATGGCATAAGAAACAAAACAAATCTTAAACAAAAAAAAAAAATGAAAAAACAGTACCTGGGTCCCTGCCACCCACATGGGAGATCTGGATGGAGTTCCTGGCTCCAGGCTTCACTCTGGCCCAGCTTGGGCTGTTGTGAGCATTGGAGGAGTAAACTGTGAGATCAAACACTCTCCCTCTCTCCCTCTCTTCCTCTCTCTCTCTCTCTCTCTCTCTCTGTTGTTCTCTCTCTCTCTGTGTCACTCTGCCTTTCAAATAAATAAATAAATAAGTAATTATTTTTTTAAAAAGCAATCAAAGAAAAATATTCTGTGAGATTCCTTTCCTAGAAGGATGTTTACGGAAAGCTCATTACAAAATATAATGGTAGAATCACAGCACAGGCTTTTAAACTGACCAGTATTGTCCACCCATGTCAAGGCCTCTTCATACATTGAAAATACACATGTGAACACACACACACACACACACACACACACACACACGATTCTGTCTTGTATGGAGGAAGAAAGTAAGCACAACTGTATCCCCTTCATACTCAGCCCTGCTGTTCTCCCACCTAGCCATGCAATCAAAGTGCCTTTTGCTTTTTCAGGTGTAAAAGATTGGCTTTTTCTGCATACATCAGAATAGAGACAGTGCATATGTGTGTGAGAGTGTGTTGAGGGGTGCTGCGGCTTTTCAGTTCCCACTGATCCACACCAGATGCTAAGCACAGTGTGTGTGTGTGTGTGTGTGTGTGTGTGCGTGTCCATAGAGGTTTGCTGAATTATGTATTAGTTAGAGAACATGTTGGGATGACTAAGGTTGGGCAGATGTGCTACAGTGCAAAAGGGAATCTTATCCTTCAGAGTGTTTGCTGGTTATACAATATATACGAGGTAAGTAGTGTATACCAGAAAGAAATACCAGAAACTGCTGGGTAAATGGCAGGGGTTCAATCAACATTCTCTCTTTCTCACTTTTTCAACTCCTCTTACTTCAATGCCCTTGGAATTTCTTTTACTCATAAAAAAATAGCTCTCAGGAAAAAGAGATCCAATGTTAATTTGCATCATTATGAAAATACACTAACTGTGCTGCTCCTCTGGGATCACACTTTAAGTCTTGTATTAAATTGCAAAATAGAGGACTTTTATCTTGTGTTAAAGGCATGGCAGGAGGCAGACTGAAATTGAAGAGGTCGATTTGGGAATAGAAGAGCTCTTCCTCCATTTTCTTGTGTCTGCTATCCATCCTCTCCCTTCTCCCTCTGAAAGCCTGGGTTCTTCTGAATGTGATGGGTGTGAGTGTGTACATATGCATTCCATGTGGGAACAAGACATCAGTGGACAACAGAATGTGACTTAAAAGCATGTGGTGTATATCTTCCTTTGGAAGCTAATAAATAGCTTGGTCATAACCCTTCTCACTATGAAAAGAAATCTCACAGAGCTCTTTCTGTCCAGCCTGGTGCCAAGCAGAAGGAAGAACAAATTGGGGTTATTTTATTAAAATAGTTTGGAAAGTCAAAACAAGAGATGTTCACAGTGCCTGTGCATTCAGGCTTCACTCTGCCCCAGCTTGGGCTATTGTGAGCATTGGAGGAGTAAACTGTGAGGTCAAACACACACTCTCTCTCTCTCTCTCTCTTTAACTCTCTCTCCCCTTTTCTCTTTCTGTTGTTCCCTCTCTCTATGTCACTCTGCCATTCAAATAAATAGATAAATAAATAAGTAATTATTTTTTAAAAAAACAATCAAAGAAAAATATTCTGTGAGGTTCCTTTCCTAGAAGGATATTTATGGAAAAGTCATTACAAGATCTAATGGCAGGGGCCGGTGCTGTGGCACAGCGGGTAAAGCCACTGCCTGCAGTGCTCACATCCCATATGGGCACCAGTTCGAGTCCCGGCTGCTCCACTTCCAACCCAGCTTTCTGCTATGGCCTGGGAAAGCAGTAGAAAATAACCCAAGTCCTTGGGCCTCTGCACCCACATGGAAGACCCAGAAGAAGCTCCTGGATCCTGGCTTTGGATCAGCACAGCTCCGGCTGTTTTGGCCAATTGGGGAGTAAACCATAGGATGGAAGACATCTCTCTCTCTTTCTCTCTCTGTCTCTCCCTCTCTCTCTCTCTGTAACTCTGACTTCTAAATAAATGAAATCTTTTAAAAAAAGATCTAATGGCAGAATCACAACACATGCTTTTAAACTGACCAGTATTTTCTACCCATATCAGTGCTCTAAATGGTGAGCTATCCTCAAATTGATTTTAGATTGTAGTCACTTTTCAGTGAACTTTTATACACCTCTGAAACATGTTTGTTAAGCTTCCAAACAACTATTATTCTAGCAGCTGTCTCTAGAATTCTCCCCTGGGGAGGAACCACTGTACCATAGGAAAACACCTTACTAAGTCACTGGGGTTGAAAAGTTGAAAGTGTGGTTCCCTGTGGACACACAAAAGCAAGAGACAATCAAAAGGAGAGGCAGAAAGGCGGGGGGGGGGGGGCACAATAAATTGCCCACTGGAAATGACCAAGGTGGGAGATGGAGCAGGAGCAAGTCCAGCAGCATGGTGATAACCTGGTGCTTAAGTTGAAGGGTCTCTAAAGGCATCTTTAAGGGCAGATAAGGCTATTTAGCACACTTAAGTTATTTGTGGTGCTTCGTATGTATCTCTCTGCTGCAAACTTTCAAAAAGATCCAGATGAGTAGATTTGTGTGAAAATCAGGGAGAGAAGTTATCCTCCACACCTAGTTCTGCATGAGGTTAGCATAGCATTTAAGAACTGAACTGCAATTCAGTGTCAGCTGCTCGGCTCCAAAGTGGTCCTGAACTCGTATGTCCCCTGGGAATTTGCAGCACTCTTGGAAGGCATTGGGCTTTCCACAGAACACAGAAAGGGGGAATCAAGTCAGTCATATGTAAGTTACCTGAGTCAGGTCTTAAATTATCAGCTGAGTTACACATCATTCATGCAAAGGGTGACTCACATAGGCATTCGGAGTTCCTTGGCTCTTGCTTTCTCATTGCCAGACTGACTCTCAATGGTCTCACAGAAGTCTCCAGGAGCCTCCTGGAAGGGCAATGTGATTTTTAAAAAAAATCGTTTATTTTACATACTTGTATACTGGAAAGATGTGCCTTTGAATGAATTTCTCTGATTAAAATTTATTTCCCAAACCTCCTGAGGTGTGCAAATGGTTCTCTTTTCCTTCTGGCTCTTTTCAACTTC